GTAGGCAACTTTCAGATTTGATGGAGCTGCAAACGCTGTTCACTGAGAACTGATGGCAACTAAATCCGCTGCTATTTGTGACCAATAATGATGACAAATGGATGGGCTCAGCTCAGTGTGCTCGAAAATATGAAAAGGTTTCTTTTTCTTGGTAACGCTCGTCCACAAATCAAGAAGAAGGTTCAGCAATATTCCCAAGCTCCTTGTAGACGATGCGATCCGGCCGGTGCGTTCAGCAACCCTGGCAGCGATAGAATACCATCAGCCTCTGTATATGTTAGACCTAATACTGAGAGGGGTAGTCCAATGATCTGGACCTACTTGAAGAGAATCTCTTCGATGCTGGAAGATGACTTTTGAAGATTATGGTGGTGCATACACCTGTCAATTGTTGGCTGTCTTGATTAAGAAAAACGAAATTTAAAAAAAGCTGAGAAATGCGCAAATCACTCTGCTGCTGTGCCAACTGTGCGGATCCCTTTGACTCGGCCAAAACAACCGGTCATTTCCCATCCATTCTCTAGTAGAAACAGTGCAGGGGAAAACTTCACAGTTCGTCCGAGTTCTCACACTTACGTATTCAACGGCATTGAGAAATACCGCGCAGCTGAAACATTCGCTACCGATGTCCCTTGAGTTTGACCTTCAGCTGACAAACACGGGCCGGTGTTTGAATGCTGCCAACGTCCCTTACCTCTATTTGTGGTGGATCTGGCCTTTTCTTATAATAGCATTTTAGACCAGTTGATAACGATGGTGCCACCAGCAAGATCAAGACATCTAAATTGTGAAGTGACTTAATCGATTCTAGGTGGAAGTGAAGATCAATTGCTCCAAAATAAACTCACAAATCATCATGCACCGACTTCCACTAGCCTACCATGGAAGTAAACCCTACCATTCCTGCAAATAACCTCAGGAAATCAGATATCAGTTATTTATCATTAATTGTTGTCAAGGTGAGGGCACTAGTGCCGTAGAGTGGGGTATCACAATGCAGGGAGCCCACAAGGCCAATTTTTCCTGGTTTCTAAGCCTTAGTGAGGACTAGGATAGGGACAAGCAGTTTTCCTTTTCTTGAAGTTCCTCCTCATCTCCTAGGCTTAGCCAACTCGAGCATGCTTTCCGCTGACATCGGTGCCAAGATGAGTTGATAGTGTCTGCGTTCTGCGAAAATATACCAAGGGGTTTTTTGAGAATCGGTTCCATGCACCTAGGCGAGGCCGCCTACAGTAACCATTCCTGCCAGAATGAGAAGCTCCGGAGGAACAAGCTTTCCGCTTTCCCATTTTCATAGAACCGGGAGCTTTTTTCCACCCCAATTAGCGGCACGAACAATTGCGCCTCTGATCTTTCTTTGATGCATGGACCCCAAAAAATCCTGGCTACCTGTTTGAGATAACTATCGTAGGCATGACTCCTAAAATAAATGAGCTTCCCATTGACCTGTGGTCCACAAAGATTATCCTCTATGGGTTACCGGTTTTGCTCTAGGAGAGTGAGAAAAATGAGCCATCGAGAAACAAGATAGTGCTGTTTGTATGACTGCCATATGCAGCCATCGTCGCCGAAACTGTGAAGAGTGAAGTGTTTCTCACTCTTCTCTTTCGGCGGCATGCTTTGTAGCTTTGGTAGCTCAGTCAAGTCAAAAGTAGTGATTGGCCCACTCTCACGTCTTTGTTATAGTCTAAGAATGTCTGATATGGTTCTCCCACATGTGCTGAGCAGCCCCATCTTACTAACGTCAGGATTTGACTCCAAGAAGAACTCGCTATCGTATCTTTTCTGAAGTTTTGTTACATCTAACGCCTTAATTTGAACTCTTATGTAAGTAGGGTAGGAGGTGGACCGCCAGTGGAGAAAAAAGGAAAAAAATCGTGAAATACACAGGAAATACGAGCCTTTTGCTCTACGCTGCGGAGAAGTTCAAAAGGCCGGCAGGGAGATGAGAGATAATGTGAGCGCGGAGAGCGGTAGAGAAGTCCGAGTAGAGAGAGCATAGCAGATCAACATTGCGACGCAGACAAGATATCGAGCGGTGGGCGGAGCGTGTCGCAACAGGTGGAGCGTGTCAAAGTCCTTGGCCCTAGCGTCCTTAGTGACGCATTTCGATGCGGGAACTTGGCGAGTCGCCTGCAGTTGCGTCCCATGCACTTCTAGCCACTTAAGGGCTTATTAGGTGGGTCTGAGCCCGAACTTTGCCTTAACTACTTTCATTTACATAGTTCTCGAGACGAAACTCGAGTGCGTGGATTTTTGGGATTTCAAAGCAAAGATTCTCTTAATACACGAGCATCACCTTGTAGATCCAGCAAAGCCGAGTTCAAAGACTTCTTCGCTTTTTTTCGACTTATAACAAAAACATGAAAAAGCAGAAGTTCACGGAGCCGCGCAAATTTTCAAAGTTTCAGAGCCGATACCGTACCTTCACAGAATCAGTCTGAACTCAGAAATAGTCGATATCACCTCTTAACTGATCCAGTCTAAACTCAGTGAAGAAATTTGTGCCAAGACCGTAGAGCAATTTTATCTTGCCGGAATATTTGCTTCAGTTTATACAACATATTTATAATTTATTAAAATTTCCATGACATCAGTGAAATAAAGCACAACAAACGTTCGATCAATCAAATATGAGCTCGTTCAGGTAATCACAGATACCAAGTCACAGCGGCTTAATTACACTTGCTGACACTCGTAATTCGCGCATTCCAGGATAACAGCGGACCCAGTCCATCGTTTAATCAGTACGTCATCCAGTCTTGAAGTGACCTTCAACTAAGCGTCGCACCCCCCCGCCCCCGATTCCATTTCCAAAGCAATAGGGGCACTGAAATTTTAGATAATGATATAGTTTAGTCCCTTGCGAACTCTGATAACTTCTTCTATGTAGTGCCTGCCCTTTTCACAGTCAGCACCTATCGTGCAGGATCCGATGAGCTCTGCGCCTTTTCCTAGAGGTCAGAAGGCCCACACGATATTCCTAACTGGCATTTACTACGCACCTCCGCTTTCCTTACACGTTTATTCCACTCGAACCCAATTTCGGAAAGGGATGACGTCATTTGACGCCATTTATGGACTTGTTCTTAAAGGCAGTGATCACGATAAAGAGGGAGCGCATCGGAAAGCATATGCACCACACGAATCAGTTACTTGGCTGCCAGGAAGCGAGAGTAGCGCTTTCACGACGAAAGGTGCGCTGGTTGCTGAGCAGGACTTCGAAAGCGCTCCGCCCCTTAAAGCGACCCGCCCACTAGCATAGTTGTTGGTTTGGACGAGCTGCTGGTCAGCAGCGGCGCATGTGGAGCATCTCGATTAAAGCTTGATTTGACGATAGTGCCATCAAACGCGTTGCGTGATTCAAATTCGATTTTTGACTGTTACCTAGTTCATGAGGGAAAAGTCGAACGCGAAGAAAAGGGGTTCCGTTATTCGTTTTCCTGACGATCTGCCGCATGTGCTTCGCCACTGCGTTACCATGAGCACTCCAGGTCCTAATGCTAAGCCTATCCTAAACACTATCGTGAATCCGCTGCCCTTTCCCCGCGCTGAGGGTGTGTTAGGATCCCTCTCATGTCCTTCTACCAAATGACTTTCAATTTACTCCCACCAGACCGACACGCGCCTCTAGGCGAACATGGAGCGCTGGCTTTGGAAGCCATGCCCGCGACCTTCCATCCTAGCACCTGTAGCATACACAGCCTCGTGTAATTGGACGGGAGTAGTCTAAATCTGTCCCATCCTTCGCTTACAGCTTGGCAATACAGCCATACTTCAAATTTACCTGAAAACTGAAGTGGCAAGCGTTCATACATTTCTCCCATCAGATAAAGGCTAAATTGCTTCAGGAAGGTCAATAGTGACAAATAGTGCGACTCCACTCAGCGAGTGTGTCTCATTCGTAGCAAGGATTTCAGATACAGCAGCAGAATACGGTCTAGCCTTTCTGATCGAGGCGCAGACGCGGCAGCGACATAAGAACCGCGTCGAATACTGTCTCTTACCTGAGCACATGATCGCAATCTCACTGAATCCCTGCCATTTCTGGGATCGGAAGGATTACCAGATGACTGCTCGATTTCGAGATATTCATCTGTAGAGTAGAATATTTTTCAAAGTCTCCCAAATGAACTGGAGGAAATGAGCTCCATACCTTGGCTGAGGCAATCGACCCCTGGAACTTCCTTGTGGAGATCGAGGATCGTCACTTCAAGCGTGCATGCGGTGCCATTGGTGGCATCACTTTCCAGCTAAACACGTCCAGTGTAGAACTCCTTCATTCATTCATCCAAATTATCAGAATTATAAAATTTTGACTTGTTTTTGTTTGTTAACTGCTGTTTTTGGCCGCAGTTCGCCTTGCGAATGTTTCACAAGAATGCTGGGTTGTGAACAAAACTTTCGCCCCAGGCGGGACTAGAACCCGCACCTCTCGCTTTCCGGGCAAGTGCGCTACCAGTTACGCTACCGGGGCACCATTTCATTCCAACTCAGCTTCTCATGGTATACTTACCATAGCAAGTCGCAAGTGGCTAGAAAGCGCGGGTGCGGGTTTAGACCCGCCGGGGCGCAAGTTTTTTCACAACAACGCATTACTCAGAATTATAAAATTTGATTTTCGCAAAATCAAAGATAATTGCTCGGTAAAAATTGGGATATATTTTTGTAATAATTTTTCAAATAACACAAACAAGCAATCAAGAACAAAAACAGAACGGTGGTACTCACGAAGTTCTCGTCGAAGCATTATAGCCTTTCGGATACCCGATGTTGGTAATAGCACCTTGAGAATCATACGAGGTTGAGAAATCGATTGAACCACCTGAACACTCGTTGTAAACAACTCGCCACAACAAAAAATGGACAATAGCTTTGCTTTTCGTACCAAGTAGTTCCCCTGTAACTCTCTACCTACCGTCATGCCATTTCCCAGTGAAGTAGCTCAACTCGTATCCATCGGTAGCCATATTGTGGTCGGTCTTCATGAAAATCTGAACAAACGAAGATACAATTCACGATCAATAATTACAGTACTCTTCTCACATGCCATTCATTGTTTATTGTTTATTGTTTATTTATTACGTTGCGTAAGGCAAACGTTAGAAAAGAATACAACACACAGTGAGAAAAATGATGAGTCAATACAATTATGGAGATGGGATTTCAGGTGAATCTCAAATAACTAGGATATTCTGTAACTTAGAAGTTTAGTAGAAATCTGTCTTTTGAACTTTTTCAATGTATTGGGAATAGCAATATTTTTTGTTATCTTTATATATGAGCTAGCAGCTCTGAATGTAAAACTTTTGGCTCTAAGATTGGTTCTGGGCCTAGCTGTAAGGATTTTAGTCCCGCCCCTTGTGTGGCGGTGTAGAAGTTGAAGGAAAGAACCCAGATACAGATAGGAACGCTATCTGGGCTCTTACCATTCACCTTTCGTCTACCCGAAATGTTGTAGAAGGGTTACCCTATCGTTTGAAATCAGCTGAATCATCGCATAACCTGCTCTATTAGCAGAACTACTTCGATAAGGTTAGCGATTATGCGCGTAAAATCAATACTTGTCTTCTCACGTCTCCTATAGCGAGCGTTTCTATGTATGTGCATGCAGCATTCTATTACTCTCTAGAGAAATTTCTGGGCGAATTTATTGAAATGACTACCTCAACATTATTTCCCCATGAAAAATATGTCGACGGAAGACCACGCCCACATATCGGCCCAGTCGAGTTTCTGCCTGGCTCTTTGATCTGAAAAACGATGAAGCCCTCAAGAACTGTCGCATGATCATTGCCTGCTAAAGTGTCATGTTGCCTAACTTACCTGGATAAAGTCAAAGTCGCAACTCTTCCTGTATATTCGTCGACGCCAGTTATAAATTGTCAGACGAGACGAATTGGTACGGAAGAAAACGATTCGACCGCGTTCAAAATCGAAATTTCTGCAAAAGCAGGCAATTATTCCAATTTATTATGCATATTTTTCACGCCTGGAAACCCTAGTACTGCTGAGCGCGCTCGTGGTATTGGAGATGATCGCAGGCCTCGGAACCAAAAGGCAATGAGGTGCTTTCTGGAAGGGCCTTCGAGAACCAACACGAGGGAGAGCATAAAGGAGGAGAGTCTATCCAAGGTCAGCTGACGCCTTGCTGTACTTGTGTAGTGGGCACAAAGCACAAGAAAATTCCACTACTTCAAACGGTGGTGGAATGCGTAGAGCGCTGTTAAAACTAAGTCATAATATTCCCTTCCTCTTCAAAAACCTGTTTCACGTGAGTCCTCTGAAAGATAAGGAAAAACTAAGGACAAGATACTCTTTCAAAATTAGCGTTCATTTCTTAAGGGGCTATCGGCGAGGAAGGTTCTTGCGCCTGTCTCCCAGTAACGAAATCCGCATTGATGCCCGCTCTTTACCGTATTCTACCTATGATGCGTTAAGCAATAAACCCAATCAGAGAGATGGGGCGAAGCCCGGTCCGTACTTCGCCATGATTGTGCGCAATGTCCCTTATAAATTTGATCAGTTTGTTTGCTCTTTTTTAATCGCCCTCACTGCGATGAGCGAGACCCACAACGATGTCGCTTTTTTTCGAGAGCGATGACCGCTCATTCAATCACCGACTGCCCTTTTCAGAAGGGTGAAGCTGTAGAAACTTACTAATCAACCGCATTATACCCCCGCTTCTCACTGCTTTAAAGTCCATTCCACAAATTCACTATGCTTCAATTATTGCTATTGTAGCCGACCTATGGGACCAGATTCAAGTGAAAGGTAGAGAGCTGAAGATATCTGAGGTGCGGGGTTTCCGGCTCAGTGATAACCCAGGTAGCCCATAAAGCCGTACCGGAACACAAGTTGAATCCGCTTTCGCTCGGATGCTTCAATCCTTGTCGTGCATGTCGCATTGTGGTCGTAAGGGTTCGGATAGTTCGGGCTCGTCAGACGTCCTGAGTGAACTTCTTCTGCATTTATCGTGCGATTGCAACCTGAAACGAAAAAATAAGTTATGGCAACGAACAGTTCAGTAACTCAGCTCAAGATTGGTAGATTATGTGAAACAGCGATTGTTAGCTGATGGTAAGCTACTTTTCCGCCCGTTCTCATTCCTACTTTGCTTTCATATCATTTGCTCGCACCTTTTCCACTAATTCTGCTCTACTCCTTGCTTACACATTTCTCATTTCAAACCCTTTTCCGCTCCTTCACCCTACTTTTCCGGTTCTCTTGCAATCCTCTCAATGTACATTAAAGACGGAAGACGGATGTGTAATTCCGCCAATACGAAAACTGGTGTCCTCAAGCAAACTTCGTATCACACTCGAGTTGCATCGATCGCTAGTAAGGATATGCGAGAGAGAACACGCGATACACCTGCAACTATTGCATATGCCCAATGCGCATTATATGCTCCCCTCATCTGCCAAGCCATACCCTCATTAGAGTCTTGTGAATGCACATAGACGTAGTTGCTAATCAACTGTCCCACTCTTCGAAAAGAGCCGTTCTTATCGAAACCGTCACCATGACGGCAGATTTTGTTAAAAAGTTGCTCGAGACGTTCAGCACGAAAAACGTGACGTTCGAGCGTCACGTGCCGGCGTCAGAAAAAAGCGGCCAGTTTACCTAACCACCAACAGCTAAAAACTGTCTTCAGGAAGTTCGATTGATTAGAACATGAGACCAATATTACGTTGTGTCCAAGTGACCGGCAGCCTCCGCTAAACGCGTCGGCGCAAAACTGACGTATAGCTTAGACCCAGAGCTTTTTGCAATTAAGTTATCTTGTGTTTGTGTTCCACGGGTTGACCCCCTCACCCTTTTCGGAACAACTTTCTAGCCAAATTTTCAGCCATGGTCAATTTCGATTGAGATCCGCGCCTCAGTTCTTGCCAAGAGTGGGCTGATTAGTTAAAGCGTAACAACTGCCCATTTCCTTGTTTGCGAGATCCTGCATGGCGACAAACTGTGGCGGAAGACGGGCATAATTAACAAAATGAGACCGAACGTTGTCTGCGAATGGTATGACGAACTTTTTCTACCAGAAGGGTCGCATTTTGGAATTAACTATGGTTATCGACTGATCTAACATTGAGCATCAGCAGCAGTGGAATAGTGTCGAGAAATACACGACCATGCGGCTTCGTACTGATGTAAGAATAGTGACGAGTGCGAAATGTACGCGCGAAGAGCATGATAAACAGGCGAAAAATTACTCGACTAGCCAGTCGACGAACCACTCGACCGATATTTATCCGCTGTAGCAGCATTCTTTCCTTCTTCACAAAGTCCTAGATGACCATTGTAAGATATTTTCGAAATGTGAAACCTCTGATCGAAGTGGATCCCATTGAGCTTTCAGTTCCAACATTTTTATCAATGATTGTTCCGAAGGACGCTATTGATATATTTATATAACAGAATTCCTTCACTCTATCAAGCAATCGATAAGACATTGTGAACTGAGCGCTGTCGTTGTCGTTGATGATCGCCGAAGTTGTTATCTGCAACAGTAATTTGTAAGCGTTCAATGACTCCAGCGATTGCTTCCTCCCCCACCCCATCTGTCACTAGAACCATTTTTTGTAGGTAAGCCCACCATTTGACTTGGCTTTGTTGAAATAATATAAAGGATAAAGGATAAAGCATTTGCCGTTGATCAATCCCTTTTTGGGATGCGGCACGCATTCTACTTCCATTTGTACATTCGCAGTGGCGTTTGAATGCGATGTGGCCTATACAATGACTTGCGGGGGCCAGCCGATGTACAAGTCAGTGTTTTTATCCTCCCAGACAAGTCTGGTACCAATTAACCGACCCCGGAGGGATGGAAGGCTTGGTTGGCCCGGGCGACTCACGACCCAGGATTTGATCCCCGGACCGCTCGCGTGGTAAGCGCGCCACTTGTCACTACACCACTTCCGCCCTACTGCCCCCTATAGTTATTCGAAATGAAATACCGCCTATTATATTTCGATGAAGAAATATAACACTGCAGTAGTTTTAGGTGACGTTGAAGTAGTACTTTTCATTATTTACCTGACTACAGTCAGCGAAAGATTCCCACACCCCTGCCCAAACCAGCTTATTCCCACCTCTCCCCTGCCATCTCCTCACACCTATGGAAGTTCACAAAATCTCACAGTTACAATGAAGCTCACCTGTACAGCCATGGTGTTTGATATGAATGGTGGGAACGGTGTACTGCCACAAATACGGAACGTCTGAAAAAAATTCATATTGCAAGTGTTCTGTAGCATTGCCGCTAAACTGTGAGCGCATGCTCATTAGTTCAAGTCTCTCAACGAGACACCGATAAACGGCCGTTTCGAGAAATGTAAATACCCGCAGGTTTGTGCGGTCGGCCCAATGACTACCAAATTACCCTTTCGAGGAGGTGCTGCAGCAGGGAGGTGGCACTTTGGCCAAAGGTCTGGAGGGTCGGTGAGCTAACAAATCAAGTATAAAGCCTAGGGCAAAATAAATTCTCACTCCCGCCGGCTTTGTTGGGTTGATGGAGGCTCAAAGAAAATCATGAATTGTAATGCGGCTGGTGTAGTGATTCATTGTGTCAAATTGCGTGTAAAGATCTCTACAAAGTGGAAATAATAAAAGAAGAATGTGTGGCGCATCCCAGTGGGGATGAGCAGTAGGGCATGATTTGTGTTTTACTCTTTTGTGAGGATAATTGTTACTTTGGGATTCCTCAAAAAATAAGACGAGCATGAGGGTATTGGGAAGGTATGAATCCCGATTCGCAAAAGGGGATCATTGAAGGGGATCAATACCGTATACAAATGAGTCTGTGCGAGGAGGAGGGGATGTGAATTGAAGGGATGAAAACGGTGGGTGTCTTCTCAGTTTCCCGAGAGATTCAGGAATCGAAACGGGGCGGTGGCAGAAATAGGGTTGGACCACGAGATCATCACCTGCTCTAACAGGATTCCATGAGACATCGTGAGCTCCCACAAAACTGAGTGCAAACCCTCTTGCGCATAAGATTCCACTCTCGTTGAACCACACAAATTGCTCACGAGACCCCCTTACTTTTCTGTCGCTGCTTTCCTTGGCACAAGCTGGATGTTGACATTTGGAGATCAGGCCCACGTCGCGAATTTCGATGAACGCATCGGAACAATCGCCATCAGCTGAAGGGAACTTGACGAGTGCTGAAAAGAAAAAGAATTCGTCACTTTACTTGTACACGGCTGGATGCTGTGCTCCATATCGGCGCAGATTACCCCATGCCACATTGGGCAAGCGCACAGCCCCCAATTCGCACACACCTTGCTGCTGGCCAGCACACTCGATCCCCCCGACTGAGCACCACTCCGTACTGTTCGGGCATTACCCTGGCATTCAGACGCCAACAGAAGTATATTTGCTCACTTCTCAGCTTTGGGACTCAGCGAGGTTTGGAGACCCAATTTATCAGATCGATCAGTTACTGAAGTCTAATAGTTGAGTGATGCGGACGAGTTGTCCGGCCACAGCAAGATGAGACAATTGCGGCTTGTGCGCTCTAATGCCAATGTGATCGCGCCATATGAACCGTCTCCCGTACCAGGTTTCCTGCTGAAGCACGCAAAAATGATGGTAGGCTACGCCTGAACCTGTAACACATTATCGGTGTTTGCGGACTTGGATTGATAACCCATTGCATCGTTGATCTCGTTGACCATTGTGTTTTATCTGAAAAAAAGGGGTAAACTAAGAAAGGTCTGGCGTAAGGCTAGCAGGTCATTAGCATTCTTTATTTGAAAAATTCTTCATTCGATAAAAGGTGGATGTGGGAGCTGGCTTGGCCCCCGATTACCGTATGCATTTGGGGAAGTTGATGAGCTCGCTCGCGACAATAAAGACTAAATTTCGCCATCAATTCCATCACCGACTAGACGACACCGTTTCGACTTCAAAGTTCGAAAGCTTGCTTTCGAGCGCGAAAGCGCAGAAGAAGAAAAAGGCCTACCGGAAACAACCTCAAACTAACCTTTATTCTGTTTACTCTGATAAGTGTAGGACTGCGATTCACTTGTCGCCACCAACCAATCACCGCAATCGGCTACAAATGATATTATTTTCATACAAATCGAACAGTTCAAGGTTAGAGCATTCGAGAAAATCAGAAAATACTCACGTTTTATCGATCGATACTTGAGCTCGAAGCCACTTCCCGAGCCGTTCATATCGCTCTCGAAGTAGACGTGAGCTACTCTGAAATCACACATAACACTGTTTTAAAAAGCAGTGAATCGATGGCCAGAGGGCGGAGCGGTTTCGATGACGTCATTGTTGGACTAGATCCAGCAGCGCACTCGAAGATGTGGCTGTGCAACCCCTTATCGCCCTTCCACCAATGACGTGACTGAAACCCTGACTCCGCCCTCTAGCCACAGTGTTCACTGCCTTTAAAATTTTTGTGTGACAAGAAGAGAAAACTGCACAAGAATGTTCGCCAGGTTTTGCTATGATATCTGAAAATCAATTATCGATCTTCACGTGGATACTGTAACTTACTTGTGCGAAGTGTGATACACCAATGGCAAAGGCGATCGTACTGTGTCTTCACAAATGTCGTGCGCTAGTATTGGTGAGAATGACTTGTACCCGTCATATATCTAAAAAGTGATTTTCAGGAGATACGTAGCTATCCCAAACTACAATTCAGGGCTACCGTAAGTGCGTCCACGCAACGTGTACCACTGCTCGAGACTAGCCCTGGTGGTGATTCCAGCTCTTCTGTGTCCAATTTTGTGATCTGTAGCTCCAACATAGGTTCGATCAGGCCCGATAATGTTCCAGCCACAGTGGAGATTGTGGATATATTGACCTGAACAAGAGAACTAAGGAGTTTACAGTGAGATAAGGACCTTCATATTTGGAGGTTCCAGCAATGAGTGGTAGCTGTTGGATGTTCGCGTACAGATCACAAACCATTCTTATCGAGCGGAGGCTTCAGCGTCTGCCAGTCACCGGTTGCCTTCAGCGTGCCACCGCATCCAGCTTTCTCGCCTGAAATTACTCCATAGTATTTCTCTTGCTCAATATTACTAAATATCACACATAGTTAAAGCCACGCGTCCAGGATTAGGTGATCATACAAGTCCTTTCCTACTAAATTGTTGCAGTGAATCAGCGTCGCAAGGTGGATTGTCAACCTCGTGACTCGAGATGTCGCGACCACGTCAGGCGCCTCTGGGTCTACCCACTTACGCCGATGGGTTCAGTTTCAATCAGCCTGGTCCCCGCCTAACCGCTGACTTTGGTGCGTGGGCTGCTCCTTTGGTGGTGAGATCTAGCTCGTTGGTCCCGTATAACTCGATGACAGGGCTGGCATATGTACCGAAAACTCGTTGTTGGAACGTGGCTCTCTCCCCAGGCAGCCTGCCTTGCAACTGCTGCGTACGGTAGGATCTGATCCAACCTGGATTCATCAAGGGATCTGGAAGCGAGCTTACAAATAAGAAGCAGAAGGCTAGAAATAGAGATAGAGGTGGATAGTGGTGCAGCGATAAAGAAAATCCCCAATTGGAAACGGTCTAGACTTGAGAAATGGGCTCTTCTCTGCTCACTCATTTCTGCATTGATGCGACTCTGATCGTGGTGCCCTCCTCAAAATTAAAGCTTCTTTCCAGTTAAACTCCGGCTTACAGCAAAGACGGCGAGGAGTCAGTCACCGGGGCGCTGTTTTCGCAGAGCGGCGGAGGTAGCCTGTTGAGAGACCGCCCTGGACAGCGCACATTTTATACCCGCAAAACGCGGTCAGTCGTTCCACCCTTAGCATCTATCTGCCTTTCGACTTCGTATATATTCCCTTTTCTTCTATCTCGACTCTATTCGTGTGGATCCGCCGCCCTGCCCGCGCCCTAACAAACAAAACCCCATCATTTAATTGTTATCACTCCAAAGGACCTATTTCATAAGCGAAGAAACTGCACTAAGACAATACCCCCCTAAAGTAGCTATGACGACCAGCTTGAAACCACCGCTGTTCATTGTCCGGTCGGTGACGAAGTTGACTATAAGATTGTTCGACTTTGTGTACAATCGTCCCGCTGGCATTCTGAGAATAAGCACTTCAAATGCTTGTCAAGTACGAAAACTCGAACAAGCTTGGTGCAGCTAACTATGAGTCGCTAAAGGGTGCTCCTTGACCCGAGCCAACACTTTACTGAGCTTTTCCTCCACAGACCTTTGCCGAAAACTAGTGCCATTCAGATCGACTCCATCGATCAATTCCAGATAATCCATCACGCAATCATTCGAGTGTTCAAGATCCATGAATTCGTACCTGTAAGCCATAAGTGAAGAATTTATACTTTCTTCCCGAAAACCAGATGCTTGTCGAGTGCAGACCACACACACAAGTGACGACGGCCTCCACAAAATGTAAATTTTCTGCCAATGAAATGATTAGCCTGTTGCAGTTGTATTCTATCAATTACAACTATCATTTACCAAAATCAGCTATCACTATGAACCACTAGTAACCAGATTTACTTGGAGGCCGTCGTCACTTGTGGTGTGTGGTCTGCACTCGACGCGCACCTGGTTCTCGGAAGCAGAGGGTACTTGTGATCGGTAGATTCTAGCCAAAATAAAGTATCTCCTCTCACTAACTACCATAAACTCCTCTTCTTCCTGATTATCTACACTACTATTAGCCATGCTAGTAAAGCATGTTGTTAAAAATAAAATAAGTTATGTATATTGAATTGTTTATAATTGAACAGAGTTTCCTCGTTGTTCCCATTGTGAGGTTATTTTTCACAATTACGGTTAATTTCACTTTTTAGGCCAAACATTTTCATGCTGGCGATGGAGCTCCACCTACTTGATGGACAGCACCCTTCCTTCAGGTGCTGTGACATTCCACAGACAGTCAAGATCGTGAGCATAGTCGAGAGGAAACGCTGGCGATGAGATTGTAGTCATGTAGCCGGACTCCTCCGTCATTTCAATGTCTCCACCGCATCCTAAAATTGAATTCTGTTCAAAAGCAAATTCTATTAGTCCTCCAAAAACCATGCTGTGGCTTTGTTGCCTGCAGGCTACCATCACAGCTGTGAAAGGAGTTCACTTACGCTCAATGGAGTAACTGATTTGGAATCCTCTTTCTATTTTCTTCGCTCCTTGAATGTACGATTGATTGGTGACGAATGTTAGGCCAACGGCACCCTAAATAAAATCATTACAGCTCGATTGGACTAGTATGCACCACACCTCATCCACTGCGATTCTTCAGAAGTTCGTTGAACGGTACATTCCGTACCGTTTCAATCGAGCAAGATATCGCAATGTTGAGCAACGAAAACCTTCGACTAGCGTAAATTGCGGAAATAGTAGGAAAAGGACGTCTTGAGCCAGCGTTTTTCATGTGACTCCCATCTAACCGCATGCATTCGACAAATGGTGATATCTGCGCTCAACTTGCCTTCATGGCTCTTTCCCTTCTCCACGTCTGGCACCGGTCCAGTTTCCATGGTCGCGCTTTTTGGTCGTCTTCGTACAGTTTTTCGAAAAAAAGTTGAAGTAAAAACGTTTCATTGGGGGCGCTTTCTGCTTTTCTACCGCTTCCTCAATGGCGGGTAACATTCTACCTACAGTTCCGTTTAGACTCACAAGGGAGGTTTTCGTTCAGGGTGTGCCAAGCTTTTTCAAAATGGTTTCTTGCATGACATTGGGGCACATATGGGACCACAGAACATGTTCATTTTTCCTGAACGGCCCTCTGAATACCAGAAAAGGGGTCCCTAGTTCGATTCCTCGTGGTGACAAATTTTTGCATTTCGAGTTGACGTTTCCAAAATTCGCGCAAAATGGAGTTAGCATGAATAATTAGTACCAATTCATGATTAGGACGTCAGTAACCCTTACAAATAGACTTTGATTGAAAAACTGGTGAAAAAGGTGTGACTAGGGACCCCCTTTTCTGGTATTCAGAGGGCCGTTCAGGAAAAATTAACCATGGTTCTGTGGTTCCCGCATGTGCCTCTATATCATGCAAAAGACCGTTTTGAAAAAGCTTGGCACACCCTGAAAGACCTTTCCTTGTAAGAATCCACTTTGGAATTCTGCAAGTTCTTCTTATTGGTCATTAAGATATATTGATGATAGCCTCCTTTTACAGCAAGGACGCCAAAGCCCTTCCGATCGCACACACACACGCGAGGCGCTGTCCGATATAAGACGAGTATGGTAACCATATTGACCTGATCCCCTAACCGCTAACAGTAACGCTCCTGCGACTTGTCGCTTTACCGCGTAGGCGTCTCTTCTTCGCTCGCTGCGGCCTCTTAGCTGGACACCTTTCTCCGACATAAGGGCGATCAAGTCCCAGTACCTTGATGGCTATCGCTTCTTCGCTCATTGCATCGCCCGCAGTACGTGACCACCACTCGATTATTGTTGACATCACGTACTTCCAAATAGTCACTAGGGCACGGATAACGTGAATAGTCCACTGAAATGAAACGCATATCGATTTTTCAGCTGAAACGTCTACTAAGTCAATTAAAAAAAAGTAATGCTTCAGTGGAACCCATTCTTTCGGATGTTTCATTCTTTCGAATGTTCTACTCACTCTTTGAATCCGACAGATCGAAGTCCAACAGTTTCAGTGCGATCACCGATTTTGCCGCTTCTCCTTCCGGAGCGATCAAATACTCGCATTGAGCGTTCTGATTCGGGTAGTAGTTTGGATAGTTCGGAGGACGAGATCACTCCGTGACTGAGACGGAATACCGCGCCACACTCTGAAATAGGGGCAAATGTTGCGAGGAAAGTTGGAACAGCGCTAGGTATGTCTTACCGGCATTCCACTCAGCTCGAAAGCCTGCAGGCTGTTGTCGATTCATCCGAAGTGAAATTGAGCCTAAATAGAAGTGGTATTGTAATGGACATTTTGCGACTTAGGCGAATTCGTAGGCGAATAGACGAGTAAGATTGCATAGGTATTGATTCGCGCCGGACCTGGGTGCTTTACACGATCACCTAATCGCCTAATCGCCTATTCGTCTATGCTTAATTCGTCCATCTCGATACGCATCTATTTCGTCTCCTCTAAACGCCTAATCGCCTGAGCTTGAACTAAGCGCTTGATAACAATTTTGAATGATACATTACTGATAATTCATGATTTCGATTGAATTTTTTGGAGTTTATGATGGCAGGGGTGTGGTATGCAAGGCAGGTTTACCTCTCTACAGATCTCTGGTTGCACATCTCTGAAGTAGGTTCTAATACTGACCCCCTTGGCAGATCAATTTGAGCACTCACTGTTTAGCGCTGGTTGGGTCTGCGGCTCGGAAGTGGGGATGTGGAGCGTTTGGAGCGCTAGAAGAAAGCCCGGCTGATATGCAGTAGGATTAAAACCTTTCCGTAAGAACCGAATGCACGAATACAAGAGAAAGAGGAATGAAAAATAAATGGAAAGAGGGTGAGAGAAGAAAACGTTAACCGTTTCCTTTTGACACCGCCCTCGACAATCCGATCACTTTATGAATTCGGATGGAACATTCGGATGGGACAAGGATGGGTGAGGCACAAAATTACGATCTCTTGGACCACTCAACGCTAGAAAATGAGTTCAAGATTTTTTTTCATTTTT